CTCTCCCTCCATTTCTGGAAAATGTCTAGTCTCATATAAGTGCCTCATGAAGTCTTCTGGAGTATACTAGGTACTAGCTTAGGTTCTTATAGTGTTAATTAGATTAATCTAATTAAAGATTAACACTATAATAAGCATGTACCATGGTTATCAGTTCTTTATACACATTAATTCATTTAATCCTCACAACACAAGTAACCTCACCCTATGGCAGTGATGGCGAACCTATGACACGTGTGTCAGAGGTGACATGTGAACTCATTTTTTTGGTTGATTTTTCTTTGGTAAATGGCATTTAAATATATAAAATAAATACCAAAAATATAAATCTTTGTTTTACTATGGTTGCAAATATCAAAACATTTCTATATGTGACACGGCACCAGAGTTAAGTTAGGGTTTTTCAAAATGCTGACACGCCGAGCTCAAAAGGTTTGCCATCACTGCCCTATGGGGTAGGTACTGTTAAAATTTTCAATTTACCTATGAAGCAACAGAGGCAAATAGAGGTGACATATATTGTTCAAGATTATACAACTAGTAAGTAGTGGCCCAGGATTAAGTGATATGTAGATGATAGATAAGGGTATAGATAGGTAGGTAGATAGATACAGTGAGCTAGATATTATATGCACCAAAATAATTGTTGTTTTAGGAGGGATTTCCAAAGTTTTTCGTGACTCAGGGTATAGACATAGGCTTTTAGTGTTAATTACTATAGAAATCATGTGGATTAGATGTATTCTTATATGTGCAGTCTTGCAGGATTTTCATTGATTTTGAAAGCCCCAATTTAGAAAGAACCAAATGTCCCTTTTAAGACCGATATGATTAAATAAACTCTCACAAGCACTATTGACTATATGTGGTAGAGGTCACCAAGAATGAGATCACCAATTTTAAAGATGGTGGAGACATATTGTTAAAAAAAATAGATAAAACAAGGATATAGCATTCCTAAAGAGGGAAAATTATGGAGACAATAAAAAGATAGGTGGTTGCTAAGGAGGAGTGGGGGATGAATAAGCAGAGGACAGGGGATTCTTAGGGCAGTGAAAATACTCTATGTGATATTATAACAAAGAATATACATCATTTTACATTTGTCCCAACTTACAGAATGTACAACACCAGGAGACAACCCTAAGGTAAACTAGACTTTGCGTGATTATGGAATGTCAATGTGGGGTCATCTTTGGTTACACATATGCCATTTTGGTGAGTGATATTGATAATGGGGGAGGCTATCCATGAATGGGACAAAGGAGTGTACATGGGAAATCTGTACCTTCCTCCCAATTTTGTTATGAACCTAACTAAAACTGCTCTTAAAAACAGTCTTTAAAAATACACCAAATACATCAATCATGTAGTTAAGAACACATAACAAAAATATATCTCCAAAAGAGACTATCTATGGAAGAAAAGGTTTGGAAGTGCACATACCCTGTTGATATCGGGGTAACCTATCTCAAAAGGATTAATTGATCAAAGGAGAATTCTAGCCTTATATATGACTTGATTATTTTTAAGTAATGAAAGCATATATTAATTATATAAAATATTCTAAACAATTGATTCCAATTAATTGTTCTTTCTGGTTTTGATTAATATGTTTGTCCAAGAGGTATTACTTTACATTGCATCCACTAGGCAAGAGATAGTGCCTGTCAGGGTTGAAAATAAGTGCACAATGCTTTCATTATAATCACTTTTTGAAAGAAAGTGCCCTAAGAAATCACCATGGTGTAGGGCAGGGCCACCAATAACTGGATTTGCCTTCAAAGATCTCTGGCATGGAGCACACAATAAGTAATCTTATCAAGCAGTTCTGCAGTGAACCAGGACTTGCCTTTTGGCATTTTAGTTTTTCCCAAATTCTTAATGCTCTATTCTTATTGACACTGATATAGGACAGCATCTTGCTCTCAGTAGGTTCTTTAACATTTTTTACCAACCCTGTGCCTTTATATCTTAAAGAGTGGCTAGCCTAAAAGCTAGCTATTGCCTCCATTGTCTTCCCCCAACACCCAAGTTCAAACATCCACTGTACTGCCTCATCATGAAACAGGCTACCTCTCCCATAACATGTTTGCTCAATCTTCTTGCCAAAAAACTAAAGAGGGGTAGTTTCTGCAGAAAATCTGGGAGCTGTGGTTCAGTGTATTTTAACTTGAAGAGGGGGGTAGGTTTTCCCATACAGTCAACACATTAACTTAAACACCAAGTATTTTGATGGTTTCTGTTATATGCTAGACATGGTCCTAGGCTCTCCCCTAGGAGTATGCAGGAATAAAGGGGTATTAAGAAATCAGAAGGCAAGAATCATTGAAATAGGAAAGAAGTGGGGGTAAACACAGCAATAACAACCTGAGTTTTAATTCTCCTGCACTAACTGAGACTGTCAACATTTGATGATTTGACTTGAAAAAAAAACGCAATCAGGCAAACATCTACTAAAACACTCCTCCCTCCTTTCTTAGCCATGGAGTCTTTGCACAGTATTTTATTGTAAAAGCCTAGTACTATTACAACATTTATTATTTATATTTGGATAATTTTAAAATTTCACTGGCATTTCAAGTCTCCTAAGTATCAAATTTTGTGTTTATATTAGCATTCCCTTTCCTTAAAGCCCTGTCTTTTAGGTCAAATTCCATAAGACTTTTTTCCTGTCTGCTTGATTAGTACCTATTGAAAGGTTAAGTCTCATAGACACAAACCAGCTACTTTCTTCCTTTTTATTATCAAAATATGAACTTGCTCCAAAACCATCTACCACATATTTCACAGAAATGGTTGCCAATGACAAACTTTTAAAAGAGAAAATATTGGTCTATATTAGAATAATTTTGTGCTCTAAATGGTGTTAGGAAACTGGTGAAAACTTACGTGATTTCTGCCCCATATGTTTTATTCATCTCTCGTTATAGCAGTACATTTGTTACTTGTGGTCAGGAAGAGAAGATAAACAGAGTTCACCAATGGGGAAAAGGACTTTGATGATTTCGCTCTCTAGAACGCCTCTGCCAGAGATGTTATGCGCTCAATAATAAGTACAGGACTTGGGCTTTTCCCTTTGTAGTTTCCTCAAAAAGTATTTACTATTCTATTCAAGTTTTAACAAACCTTTTTCTTAATGCAGTCTGCTACATTAAATTAAAAACATTTCAACCAATTTCAGACCATTCTACATGAAAAGAAAAATATACAACTTTGACAGGCGAATATTTACAAGGAAGGGAAGGTCTTAGAAAGTTGTTTTTCCCCAGCTTTCATATTAACCAATTACAATTTTTGCCAAACTAAATATCTTCTGAAGGTCTTTATAAAAGAGATTGGTAATGAGGCACTACTATCATGTTTTATTTTCAAGTGAAAACGATGGTTAAACTTATTTGTTAGATAATTATTTTAAAACATCTCTCTAGCCCAGGCTGGTGTGGCTCAGTTGGTTGGAGTGTCATCCATACACCAAAAAGTTTCAGATTTGATTCCTGGTCAGGGCACATGCCTAGGTTGTGGGTTTGACCCCTGGTTGGGGTATGGACTGGAAGGCAACCAACCAATGTTTCTCTCTCCCCCCGCCCCCTTCCTTCTTTCTAAAATCAATAAGCATGTCCTTGAGTGAAGATTAAACAAACAAACCAAAAAACCACATCACTCTATACATAGCATGTAATTCAGTATAATGTTTTTTCATAAAGAAATCCTCCCTCTTGCTTCTGTTGTTAAATACACCAAATAGATTTCTTTCTAACAGTATTCTCCTAGAGCCCATACTTTAGGAAGTTTCCAATGAATTCCACTTATTATTTTTGTTGACAGTCCCAGATGCAAAAATAAACAAACAGACAGACAAACAAAAACATGTGTTTTTATATGATTTATCAGTTTTAAGTGATTGGGGGGTGGGGATGAAGAGTTCAGGTATAATGGCAAACACTGTCTGGATGTGTCTTTTCACAAGAGTTAAGCATTCTAAGTTGCTGAAAAGCCATATGCAGGGATTACATCTGTTTTATCTGCCAGCTCATCTATTGTGCCTCGCATGTGGTGACCATTAACATGGAAGAACACATATTTCACAAATGAACCAACATGTTAGACTAAGTTGAGATGTGCTACGGTAACTTTTCCCCTCCAAATAGACTTATTGTTTAGAGATAAAGATAACTTCTTGGCATAAAATAGCCATCATTTTTATCTAAAAAGAGATTATAAAAATCTGCCTGTGGCCTGGACTAAACAAGGCACTTATTGGCATAAATAATATGATGAAATCACTTCAGATTTTGGCAGTTAGAGGCATTTAGATCAAATTTACTTTTATGTCCCTTCTACCAATCAATAGATTAAATTGCAGGCTCATTGGGATCCATTGTGTGCTTATAATATTTCACTGTAAGATTTTTATATATGTGTGTATGTGTGTGTGCGTGTGTATGTGTGTGTGTGTGTGCGCGCGCACACACACACACACACACACACACAACAAGGCAGATTATCAAGATAATAGCCCTCCAAAAAATTAATGGAAATACAAATATCGTAATTATCTTAATTCCTGCTTCTATTGTCAGAAAAAAATTTAAACTGCCTGATTCACATGTATTGTTTTAAGTACTAGAGAAACATTTCTATGTTGAATTTACCTGGCTACCCATCCATATTTGAGAGGTCCTGGGGAGGTCAGCTCAGCAAGCTGTGCAATTCACTTTTGGCTAGACTTTGTTGACGTAGCCATTTCATAATTTTATTACTGCCAGCTTGATTTTAATTTGAACTGAATCTTTCAACATAGCAAGGCCAGCCATACTTATTTTAAAATGAATTACCAAGTGATTCACTGATGAAACATTCTGGGGATGCTAGAAATATTGCTGGGTGATTTAATAAACCAAATAAAGGTATATCCAGAGAGTAAATTTATGGCGGCTACTTGATTTGCAACATGTGACCCCATAACTCTGTGCATTGCTGCTCCGGTGTTACCTTACCTCCGACACTGGCCGTTCTGGAGGAGTCCTGGTGAGAGCTGGATTTACTGCGGTTTTGGTTTTTCCGTTTGTTGGCTGCTCTCACGGATCGCAGGAGTACCTCGCTCGCCTTGAAGAAAGCCACCATGAACGGTTGTTTTGACTGAGGCCCATGTCTGCCCACCAGACCAGCAGATTTGACGTTGATACTGCGTCCTAGAACACAATGCACAATCGCTTGGTTTATGAAAAACAAGATCAAGTTTACCTGATATGAATGAATTCTGAGGGTACTTTGGTGGGGGGGTGAGTTTTAAAACATTATCAGAATCTTTTCTTTTCAGGCCAAATATCTTTATAAACATTGCGAGTTTACCATTACAGACAATTATCCATGCTTGGTTTTGCATTTTGCATCATTCTCCCACCACAGAACACCCTCGGGCTGCCTCCACTAACAGAGCTCTCAGACCTGGAAGTCAGCAATACCGTACGTGGGAAGGTTGACTACCATCGCCTGGAAATGTCCACATTGAGTAACAATTTCAAAAATATGAGCTATGGGCTCTTCTGTATTAAGTTCCCTATAATTTTCCTCTAAGTGATAAAAGCTGAATAGCTGGCTGGATGTTGCTACTTTCCCCAGCTCCTTTCCGAGCCCTTCAAGCATTAATTAGTGCTGATAGCCTCCCCCTTGCCCTCTGGCCTGTGCCCAGCAGACTTTACAAAGCTGGGCTCTACTGAAAGCTCTTCTAAGGTCATTCCAAAAGCCCCGCTGCTGGGGATGGGGACTTGCTTTAAGTGCCAGCTTTTTCTCAACTGGAGGGAAACATGAAGATTTCATAATTCCTCTCCTTCTGAGTTTTGACACAACTGAATGTTTACTGAAAAGATCTCAGAAGACACAAACCAAGCCTGGAGTCTTTCAGAAAGGAGAAAAATGCCCGATGAGCATGAAGGCTGACCTTCATCTCTGACGTTTCTGAGCCACTCGGTATGGCTGTGCATCAGAGAAGAAGGGCCGGTAGAGGAGTGAGTTAAAAGTCAAGGTGTCCCAGGGCCTAGCAGTAGAGGTTAATAAAGTACCTCTCCCATTGGGGTAATAATGATGACACTTATAATTATAATAATGCCAAATGTTTTGGAGCCCTTGCTATGGATATGCTAGTCATTTTACTGTTTTCCTTGTGTTATTTGATTCCACAAATAATCTAGGAGTTACATATTACTATTTCCCTTTTTTACAATTCACTCTTATTATCCTCTCTAGTTTAAAACAATCACTGAAAATATTATATATAACCTAAATATCTAATCATATACTTTAATACTATAATATATATGAAGCAAACCATTGGCTGATATTGGTCCATGAAAATCACACAAAGAGAATGAACTATGTAATCTTATGTTGTAAATTTAGTTGAGAATTACTAAAAACTCATGCAAATTATCTACTTGACATAGAGAAATTACCCATCTTTGAAGAGTAATATATAATGTGGTTTGAAATATGTGCATGACTGACTCTGCTTTGCCCCATGGGAGATGTGCATGTTTTCTTAAAATATTTATTCAGTGAAGACTGTAGAGCAACCTCAGTCCACTCTATGGCCTGACCCACCTTAGAAGAAGGAAAAGGAAAACAAGTCCCTGAAACAGCATCAATGGCTTTTTAGCAAATAAACCCATGCTCTTAACAAAATTTATTTTGGCAGCATAAACACTTTTGTGTATACTGTATTGTGAGGAGACCTTCCACCGTCAGAAAATGAGACTGTGTCATGTGAGGCTGTGCAGCTGTTGGGACAGACACAGAGGTCCTTTAAATGCGGAGGTATTGGTTAAATAAAAAAAGTGTGCTCCAGTCCAGGCAGCATCAGGATCCTCAACAATTGTTCTACAGCATATTGGCAAAACCTGCTCAGTCCCTAGAAGTATTAAAATGGCATTCCACCTCACCAATGACACTATGCTCAGTCCTGCCCAAGAAAGAACTTACAAATAATCAAAGCAGTAAACCTTAAACAAATAAGCATATAAGTTTCTCTTTTAAATGCAAACTTACAGTGGCTTTATGCCAGAGTCTATATTTCTTAGAAAAACTCTATCACTGGCATAAATGAAAGAGGCAGTTTGATTTGTGGTCAGAGCAGTTTCCATTCTACTTCCACTGTAACAAATGTATTAATTCAGCTCAGACTTCCTCCTTCTGGCAGCCCTTTTGCTGTAAAAAGAGAAATTAGAAGTTCCAGCCAAATACCATACCTTGAACTGACCCACTTCAATACATAAACACTTTTACAACATGTTTATTCAGGTGTAGCAGTTGAAATTGGTTTAAGATGTTTCCAGTGACAGAGAGCTCAGCAACAGAAAAAAAAAAAAAAGAACTGAGAAACTTAACTGTTATGGAATAGAATAACTGGCAATCTGTTCTTCAAATTTTTGATTTTTTCCCCCCTGTCTTGGAGTACAACATAAAAAGTATTTGTTGAGCTTTTATTTTGATTTTTTAATGAAGTGTTAATTTAACAGAAACTAGATTTTTACTTGTATAGATTGATGACTGCAGAAATTATTTTTAATATATGATCTTTCTAATACTGAAATAGGTTGCTGCAAGATGTTCACAAATGGAATACAGTAAAATCGGTTTTCCATTCATTACAACACACACAGACCCTTTTATAGTTAAATAGGCACTTAACGCAAAGTTCCAAGTTTCCTTTGGTTTGCAGGAGGGTTTCTTTTTATTATTTTTCTAAAGACTTTCAATATTTTAATTTTTATCTGTGGAGAAAAAATACTTCTCTAAAGATTTATGTTCTGAAAACCGTAAAGATGTGCGTATGTTACAAATATGGGTTTCTTGGGCTTTACAAAGGTGGATATTGTGTGTGAAGTAAAGTACCCTTCAAACCAATGTGAACTCCCTTTAAAATAACTTTTGATATTATTAAGTTTCCTCTTGGTTTCCTTTTTACTTCAGCAATGAGTTGACTATTAAGATTCCATAAGTTAATGCTTGCTCAGTTACTTTTGGTCTTGAGCTACACCATAGCTTAACTATTTGACCTACTCCTTCAGACACAATACACCTACATTGATTATGTAGACTAAACCTTTTGAATGGCTGAACAGTTGTTTCTATTAGAAGTGCTAATGGGAACCCAGACTATATTACATGTGTTGAAAATATTGAATCTTTTATAAAATTTATTTGAACATGGTCAATTTTATTATTAAGTATACAGTATGTTTTAGATATTGCAAATATAAAAATAAAGAAGTCTACCCAAAACCTTTTGATTTAGGAAAACTATATGTAGATGTGCATTAGTATGAATTTAATTTTCATAGTTGATCCTTATTTTTTACTTCTAGTTTAAAAGGTATAGTATTACAGATAGATGATGATATATAAATATTAAGCATTAATATACCATAAAAATGGGGTGGGATAATAAAAAGAGTATTAAGTTAAAAGGATGGTAAGAACATCAGCTTGAGCCCAAGCTTAGTCACCTTGGGATTCAGACATGTCTAGGCATAGCTAGAATATTGGTAGGAGTAATTCACTGCACATGTTTTTGAATGAGGATGGAGCAACTTCATGGCATATAAAGATTAAGCATTAATATACCATAAAAATGGGGTGGGATAATAAAAAGAGTATTAAGTTAAAAGGATGGTAAGAACATCAGCTTGAGCCCAAGCTTAGTCACCTTGGGATTCAGACATGTCTAGGCATAGCTAGAATATTGGTAGGAGTAATTCACTGCACATGTTTTTGAATGAGGATGGAGCAACTTCATGGGAAAGTCATTCTAAGGAAAAGGTGAATCCCTAACTCATAGATTCAGAACAATGTCCTAGTGAGTATAAGGAAACAGTGATTTTAAGTCTGTGCAGCTCCAATTAGGTTGCATGACTAACTTCTAAAGAACAAAGAGAATTCAAGAAAATGTCATAGAACTGTTTTTACCTAAAGTCCCTACAAAATACTAGGAAGTCAAGGCATCACTACTTTGGAGCTTGGTTAGTAATGTGACACAGGTGGTGGGAAAAGGTTCTCCCTAAATCAGAAGAGTGGCTTTGGAGCATCTCCTCCCTGGGACAGGATGACAGACTGTAGATCCAAGATTATCTCCTGTACCAGCATCAGCATGAGCTTCTGAGAGTGGTCACTGTTCAAAGGTGAGCAGAGCATTGGGACTTTAAGGTGCACCAACAAGTGTACCAAAGCGAGAGACAGTGCCAATGATGCATGAAGTGACTGTTAGATCAAGAGGTCACCTCCCTTGCTGTTGTAGTAAAATATAGAAATGTTTAAAAATGCTTAAAGAATGTCTAAAAATATTAGGAAGGTTTTGAAATGTTTCCTTGAAACTTAAAGTGTGATATTAAGGACACATTCCCCACTGCCCTGAAACGTGTGTACCTCATAGATAAGGATTTGAACTTCAGTTACTGACTCAGAGTGACTTGTCAAAATAACCATTTGAGTGAGTGATGTACTCTCCCTAGATAACCGCATGTAGCCCCTTGCCCTATTTGAAATTAACATGTGTGCATTGACGTAATTCATTGATAGCCATCTGAACTGCTGAGGGTACGAAACAGGCTTTAAAAATGGGTCCTGGCCAGCCAATGGTGCTTGCCTGTAGAGACAGCCACAAAGGCACGTCCTTTGGTCAGTGCAGCAAGCGACGCTGCTCCAGGCTCCTCTCTCTGCCAGAGGACAGAAGAATGGCTAGTACCTCCCGATCTAGACACGACCAAGCTCTCGGGTGAGGAACGCCAGCCCCCTGCATCCGGACTGGACTAGCCTAGCTGCCGGACCCCAGAGGACAGCACCACTGGGATCCCATTAAGCCTGTACCCACAGCATCAGGAACTTTTATTGAGTAATAAAGTGCTGTGTGATTTGCAACTGCATATGTTTCATGGGGTGTAATTCCTTCGGCAGTTAATTTAATTATTTTGCGTACGCTTAAAACTGAAATTAAAGCTTCTGGTCTTTTTGGTCCTAGGCCTGCCCTTGGTCCTGCTTGGGTAGAGTAGCCTCTTGGCTAGCAACTGCTTGAATGTCCCACACCTGCACGGTTAAAGTTTATCTCAAGGGACCTTAGATAAACACCCCAGATCCTTTCTTGGGTTCTACTTAGGACACTTGCATTATATCCAGGCCCTAATGTTGTACACTGGGCAGA